ATTTCGCCTGCATCACCAGCATCTAACAGCGAGATCATTTCTAGCAGTTTCTCATAAAATTTATCACTTCGGGCAGCAAATTGGTGAGCTGCAATAGCCAAAACTGGTTCAGCCCGGTATTTCGCTGTGATATCTTGACGATTATTTGCAATATTTGTAATTATAGCCATGTGCCATTGAACAAATACATCAGTTTGCTGAGTAACTTTTCGTACCGGAATAGCAAGGATTTGAGAAGCAGCCTTAGATATCTTCAACTACACTCAATACGTTAATGAATGAATTTCCAAATTTAGAAATTGGTTTCATTCCTAAGAACCCAATTGCAAAAATATGTAGCTATCCGAGACACATTAATGGCTTGATGAGTGTGCATTGATGAATACCATTCACCTAATCATCAACAAATAATGCGTTAGTAATTATGCTCTCTTTAGCGACAATTCGATCCATTGAAATGTGGAAAAAAACCAACATCTAGGTCCAAGATCATACAATAGATGCCCTCCCTTAAATCCTGATGGTGAATTATCCTTTCCTAATAGACCACTAAATCACAAGAAACTTTTCTGATTCTTTGTTTCTTTATTCCTGCAAAGCAGATACAGACACTTGTTTCAATAATTTAATCAAATAGCAAAGTTAGCAATCATGCTGGTTCATCAAACATTGATCTCCCAACAAATGGTATGTTCTAGTATGAGAACTCATTCATCACTGATGGAAAGAAAAACCACACATTTCCATAATCTGGGAAAATAACGTGCATTAAATGAGATTAAAACTCTAATAGGTTATTGGAACACTTAAAAACTATATTCTCACAACTATACACTTCTTATCAATGTTTTCAATTTGAGTTTCATGTTTTGATAGTTTTTAAAATTGTACTTTTTAAATTAAAAAAAATACAATGTTATTGTTAAATTTTACATATTTTCCATTATTTTTTCATTTGCTATTTTTTTCGCAAATTATAATTTGTATTTCTATTACAAGTATATATTTTAAAAATTTAAATCGTGTAATTTTTCTGAAATTCTGACCTTTCAGATAATAATAAAAATTAATTTTATCTCAAAACCAAAATCCTAAAAAGTCAGTGCAAAAAAAAAAGAGAAAACTGAATTTTCAGATCCTCCAATTATTATTTAATCCAGCTATAAATTATATGCCCGCAATAAAATTAAATTCATCAACGATTGTACTTATTAGATTGTTGGTCCTTTTCACTATCGATGGATCATTTCAGAGTACAATAAATTCATTCTCTGTGCTATATTCATAATTGATTTCTGATACTCTATTATTATGTATTGTTTGATTCATTTCAGTTTTGTGAAAAATTGAGAAATTTTTGGTTTGCGTAAACATTGTTTCACTTTTGATTGAGCTTCTGAGTCATGTTTGATCATTTTTCATGTTACTCCACTTCTTCAATAGAATCCACAACCTTGAACTTCTTCTAAAAATATGGTGCCAATATCAATATTTCAGTCGGGATTTATTATATTATTTTTCTAAAATATTCTTGAAATTTGCAGGAATGTATCGCCAACTCCTTTAAAATAGATTGGTTGTAGTGAAGTAATATCATCAAAAAAATAAAAATGATTTTTTCAACAATCATATAATTCATTGTAGTGATGCAATTTATCATTAATTTCAATTAATTTGTTATGATAATCATCTTGGTTAATTGTTTCAATGGTATATTTTGTGATATACTTTGGATCTAAAGTCTGTTTTAATTTTAACTTTTTTATTTTTATTTTTCATTAGTTTCATTAACAAATACATTTCCCTTGTGAGATTTAGGGATTGCAGTTATATCAACATACAAACCAGTTGCTCTACCAATAAATCTTGCATCGATCATATTTCTTAAGTTACCTTGAGTTTTTTGAATTAAACTTGAACTGGCATCGATTAGGTAGCTATCTAAACCCATTGATAATTCAGTGTTGGATAATGAATAATCAATCACCAAAGTTTGATTATAATTTCAAACCAATTGAATCAATGCATTCATTTTGACTTGAACATCTAAATCTTAATCCCATGAAATGTTTATACCATTCCACCAGTACCTAATAATGAGCCATGGATTATCCAGGTTTTCAAGCCAGCCCAGAACTCTCGGAGAATCGTAACCAAGCTCTTATCAAATGATGCAAAATCGCGCCATGATTTTCCGGTGAGGTATCTAGATCGCTATCAAAAATATCCTTCCTATTGTGGAGGTTTTCAATATTTTCAATATTTTCAAAAATAACCTCAAGTGGATCTGATAAGTTACATCTATTAATAGTTTTGCTGTTTAAATTATTTAGCTAGTTACTAGTGTTCCATAAAAAGCATTTTTTTATTTAAATTTTGGGAATTTTTTCTTCCAGATAATGGTGACTAATCATTATTTAATGTGAGATATGACTGATTAATTAATCGCAAAGTATCAAGATAAGTAGCGGATTCATTTGAAATAATTAGATAATTATTGTTTGATAATAGATGGGATACTTCAACCAATTCGTTTTGAGAGATTAAACCGTGGAAAATCAATTGATTTCATTCAATAATTTTATTATTTTGCTTAGTGTTATCAAAACTAATATGTTTAAATTCATCATTTATATAAAGAAGTTATATTATTATTGTTTGAATTTTGATCTGTTGGCAAAACTTATAAAAGAAATTTATTAATTGCGTTTATAAAGAGTAATTGTTTGGGTATTGAATTGAATTCATTTCTATTTAGCAGTAGGTTATTCAGATATTGATTGATGTTATTTTTATGAATTAATTTGACCAATTTATTGATTTGATCATGATTAGAGTGATTTAAGAAAAGATGTAGTGGGCAGGTAAAAACTTTTTCAGTGGGAGATCGATCACATAGTTTTTGAGGAGAGTTAAGTTGCTATTAAGTTCATCAAAATTATTATTATGGTTATTAAGATCACCGAGAACATTGCGCTTATTATTGAAATTGTGATAATCACAAGTATTATAGCTCAGAAAATATTGGTTATCATGCTCAGAAATTCTCGCTGAGATGCCCCAAGTACAGGACCATGGGTCTCTGCGCATAGATGCGTGTCTCTGCATTCAGGGCTTCCAATTTTCCTTTCCAACATCCACACGGACCTTTGACTGTATTTGTACTTCTGAATGGATCCGGTGTTTGTTCGAGAACTCTCTCTGCCCTTTTTATGACAGCAGGGAATTGGGAGATGTTTCATTTCGCTCTTACAGAACTATGAATGGACTCACTGTTTTAATGCAACACTGGGTCATTCAAAGACCACTCAAAACCCACTCGAGGACCTAAAGGCTGCTTTTAGGTCTAATTATTGTGTTTCAAAAACTATTTCGGTACATTTTAATTGGTTTTCGAGATTACATAACTAGTATAGTGTGTTATTTTCAAAACTTGGTGAGTAAGCTGGATTAATATCGTTTTTTTTCTTGTGGTTTTTGGTACATTTGAGAAAAGTTTCCCAGTTTTTGTTACTGGTTTTCAGCCTATTCGGTTAATAAACTTCTTATCAATAGATTGATTTCAAATAAAAAGACAGTTTTTTTGCACAAGAATTATTTGGGCAACTCTTTTATAATTTGATATTTGGTTTACGGTTTATTTGGTTTTTCTTTATCAAGTAAAGAACTTAACTCAATGAATATGACCCAATCTCAATGGAAAATTCTGATAAATTTTGCGGTCATGTTGTTAAAATATGGGTAATAGAAAGCAATAAAAAAATAAAAATTAGTATCACTGAATGTTACTTATTTTTAATTTCAACTATGTTTTCTGCTGTTCGATTGAAACATATTTATACAGAGAATGATCTTCTCATTGTGGTTTATTTGTTTTTATTGTTCCAATATCTATTAAAAACAAAATTCAGAAATTAATATATTTTTAAGAAACGATGTCTTATACAAAGCGAATTGTTATTCAGCCTTCAACTGGAAGACGACCAACAGATTCTGCAGCAAGATATTTAAAAGAAAATTTTTACTATTGAAGCTTCGTGTCCTGAAATTAGAGAATCTGAATCACGTGTACAATATCTAATTGCTTGGGCTCGTTTATTAGATGTTAATGGCGACATTTTACAAGATCAAACTCTTTTGGAAGGTGAAACAGTTGTTATACGTAATTGCTCAAACACGGCTAGTCCTTTTTCTTGCCGTTTTACTTTTGATTCAATTGATATCAAAAGGAGTGGTTCGTATAGAGTTAGGTTCATTCTTGTGAGAGCTCTCCAATATTCAGACGATGCAATTCTAGGTTCCATCGATAGTGATATCATCCATATTGTTGAGCAAGAAGATACAATGAAATTATGAATCAAAGACTGACTTAAAAGAGATTCCACTCATAACCCATGAGTTTCTAAATCAACAATACCGTGCACCGTACTATATGCTATATATATCATACGTTTGTTTTCTTTTTTATTTTTTTTATTCTTTTTATTTTTCATCATTAACATATCGTTTACAATAAAGTATACATTCTTTCGAGAAATATTTTATAATAGTAGATCCTATTTTATTCTATTTTGTATGAACACTTTTATTATTTACTTGAATTAACCCATTTTTAATATCATTTCTCTTATGATTGTCAATTGGATATAACAAAGCAACCAAATATCTGGATTGAAAATTAACGCCATTAAGGTTCTCTGCACACGATTTAGCAGATTTGAGATCCGAATAAATAACAAAACAGTCTCCCTTCAAATGATTCTTCATTTCTTTTCTCAATTCAACGATCCTTCCAAACTTGTTGAACAAGTCGTACAACTCCTGTGTTATGACTTCATAAGGCAGGTTTTTTACTAGGACTATTGGAAATTCAATATTAAACTGGTTATTAGACATGTCAAATAGATCTTATCTTGTTCATCTTTTAGATAATGATAGGGACGCAGAAAAAAAAACGGGCTGACAAAATTGGTATTTTTAGAACCTTGCATGCAACTGCATATATCTGCAGTTCAAATTGATGGAGCACAACTAGTTTCAATCTTTCAGTGATCAAAATTGATGAATGTTATTACAGAATTTTGGCTTAAGATAGACAATAACCTAAATGAAGATAAATGTGGGAATGAAGAATAGATGGCAGAAAATTTATTTAAAATTCATCGTTGAATTTCAATAAGTCCTGATCTTTATTTAAAACTCAAAATCTATATTTAACGGATTCAGATTTTTTCTTATGCTTTTACTGCAAACTATTGTGAAAAACCAAATAGTAAAAACAGTACAAAACCCCAGATGTTGGTGAAGTTCATAAAAATGTATAAATTGAAAATTATCTCTCAAACTAATATTGAAAGGCAGTCAACGCCATTCAAAACAAATTTACAGTAGCATAACATTCTATGGGTAACAACAGATGACATCAATATAAACTCGTTGTTTATTCAAGTGATTTTATTGAATCAGTCTGGAGAAGTTTGTAATTAATATTTTTGGATGATGATTGTCTAAAGTGGTTAATAATAAAAAGGTATTTATGCTTTCCAAAAATTGTTACAAATTTATATTTAACAATATTGGTATAAGAAAAGTCGAAATTTCAAATTGAGGTTTTCATTGAACAAATGCAGTCCACTTTGTAGAAAAATTCAAGATATCAATCAAATTGATCCAGATCTTATAAAAGAGATTGCATAACTGCTCATAAACTATATATGTTTCAATACACAGCGACTCGAAGCCTGATATCGCATATGTTGCAATACCGGGTCACAAGACAAAAAAACAACCAATCAAATTATATGGTTTACTTTTTGGTACTTATTTAAATCACAAACAGCATTTACAACACCTTTCTATCTTTGCTTACTTTGCTGTTTGTGTTGTTTCTACTACGACATCGAAACGAAACGAAGCAAAACCAAGAACAAAATGCTGGATGATGATAAAAGCACACAGAGTACTATATGCGTAAGGACACATTTAAACGCATAATTTTTAGAAATCCAAACTTTAAAGAAACTTCAAGATCGTTCTTGAAGTAGAGCAATTTCATTAGAAATACTGCAATGGATATGTTGCCGGTACCTTTCAGCAGCTCTAAAACAAAAACTTTTTGTCTCATGATAAAACCCTTTTTTGAAAGCTGATTTCTTTTGGTATTTAGTTCCTCGTGCTGGGCTTTTTAAAACCATCCTAAACTGGCTTTGAAGACAAACCAATGACCAATTACCACGTTTGGTTTTGTTGAATTCTACTGACTTTTGAATACGGAGTATTAAAGCTACCAAATAACATTTTTTTAATTAAATAATTGCTCCTTATAAAAGTTTTTTTTTCAAATGGAAAAATTGTTGCCTGACCTGTCCAGCTCCTAATATACCATACTTATGTCCAAAACTGCAACATTCATATCAAAATATCATGAAACCCAACCAGTTAGAATACCGAATACAGCCATCATTCTATCCGCTTTAATAGTTTTTTTAGACGAATCAATCGTCATTCATATATCATAACTTGAAAGTTGTTTAAAAGAAGAAAATAAGTGAGATAAAAAAAACCAATAAAATGCAAAATATCTTTGTGAGATCTAATTAAGCAGAATCGTTTTGACTTATAATATTTATTTTTGCTATTTTTTAAATTCTAAAAAATAATAATTAAATTCTAAAAAATAATAATTAAATTCTTTGATATAATCATATATCAACTGGCTCACAACAATAGTTTTGTCAAAATTCATTGCAGAAGTTTTGAGAAAAGTCTTGAACAGAATCCTTTAGACAATTTTTGTAACTGCTACAAAACTTTTTATAAAACTTTTTGGAGAGGCTATTGCAAACCTCTTGAAATTTCTCACTTTACCAATTGTTGTAGCATTTTTCAAGAAATTTTTGGCAACATTCAGCGCACAAGTTTTTGCAAACTACAGTACATTTCCCTTTCTCGTCAGCTGAACTATCATCACAAATCGGCTCATAACAGCTTTTGCAGGAATACACAACATCAAAAAGAATTCCTGACAGCCTTATCACAGGAAGAGCTTTCCAATGAATTACTAGGACCGGAACTAGTACAAACACAAGAGCAAGATATATCTAATCAACAACGTATTTAGTTTCATAAGCAGGTTATTCTTTAAAGATTTTAGAAATAATGACAATAATAAAATTGAGCATATTTTAGTTTAATTTGAATCACTAATATACCAAAAACATTGTTTAATGTATGTGTTTATTCAATCTAGCAAATAAACCCGCTGAGCAGAGGCATGGCAGTCGCGCTAGCTTTTTTCGGACACAACGCAGAAACGCCCTCACTTGAAGAGTGGCTCTGTACCAATTCACACCTTAGTTTGTCAAAATGAAGAAAATCGAGGGAAATGCCAGCCCCCTTTATAGGGTGATTCGAGCTCGATGGTTGAAGAAAAAGAAAAGAATAATTTGTTGTTTTCGTTTCGTCAAGCAAACGGAACTTGGTCTGACTATTTATCGCAAAACTTATCCCTATACGAAATACGGATAGGACATGAACGGATAGGATAAGCAATCCGCACAAGGGCCTAGGTCAGATCCCTTAGCGTCACAGGACCAGACCGGCAGCATGTACTAGGGCCGTAGTTTAGACCGAGATCAGAGATCCGAGCGCTTTCCAACATGATCATGGTCGAACTAGTCATCAATTATGGTTGCATTTGCTGATTATTTTGAAACGCAGTATAGATAATATAATATTAAGTTTTGTACTATAACAGGTTAGTACTTTGAAGACAATAGTTGGCAAAAAAGTTTAGAATGGAATTTGCAAAACGATAAGCCAATTGAGTTAAAATTAAGAGCAACAATAAAATACCTTTTTCAAATTTTTTTGATGGAGATCATTCATATTAGGCTTATACCAATCTATGCTGGATAATAAATTCAATTTCAAAAAAGTAAAAAACTCTAACGATTTTTGTTGCTCCAATCAGTAAAATATCCCAAATAAGTAGTCTCAATTGTCATTTTAAAGTATGAAAAAGACAATAATATTAATAAATTGAATTGAGAAAAAAATAAACAAAAAAGTGTTGGAAAATGAACCTGAATTATTAACATCTCAACAGAGATTTTTCAAATTGACACATTCATTAAGCAATAAACACATGGGCTGAGAATGAACCAGACGCAGCTAAATTCGATCTAAATAATGGGCAGCAATGATAATATCAACAAAAATATGAATCAAACCAAAATCAAAATGAATGCTTCATCGTTTAATAGTGTTTAGTGGTAAGCAGGAAGGCTTGAATATATCTGATTAAACTAGAAAACAATATAATATTTGAATACTATAAAAACGAGGTGATGAAAACAGGTTTTATAATTATTTGCAGAGTTACTTAATATTGTTGAGTTTTTGTTTAATCATCTTTAAGCAAATCCAATCTGGTTATTTATCAAATATCTAATTTGGATTGTATTTAGGTGATAATCCTTTTTCGAAATCCGATATTTTGAAGTCATCTTTATCATTAATCAGTATATTATTTGATTTCAAATCGCCATGATATAAATTACTCTGATTTAAATAATTAATAGAATTTTCAGTTTGTTCCAGTAGTTTTGGTTAATTCTATTTACACTCCCCTTTAAAATTATCCCAAACCAAGTTCAAGAACTCTTTCATTTTTATGCAAAATTAATCCTATAAATTCAATGATGTTTTTATGTTTTAAATTATTTAAATTGTTAACTTCTCTCAAATTCTTTAACCAGCCCTCTTCTTTTCAATAATTTACAGACAATATTACTATTTAATATTTTTTCTAAAAATATGTACTCTGTTAATTCTTTAATTTTTGAATATATTATTTTGATGATATCTTTTTATATTTTCATCAAAAGAATGTTCCATGTGCTTAAAAATTTCCATCTCTTCAGGTTCTTTATAACCTATTTTCATTATTATTTCCTTGTTTAACAATAAACTATCGGTATTTTCCACATTTATATATTTGTCGTAATACTCAGTAAAAATGTGCTCAACAGTTTCATCAGCATCTTCAAAAATTTCATTATCATTATCACTATCAAAATCAACATTAATCAATTTCTGTTTCTCATTTTTCTCATTTTTCTCAAACCATAGATAAACATTAAATACTCTGTTATTGTCAAAAGTGACATCTGATTCAAAAAGAAAATAATAGGACATTGAAATAATTATTTGTATTGTAATTCAAGTGAAATTTGGTGATCTGGTGCTAAAATTGTATGCTTTACGATTAGTGAAAAGCTTCATCATTGACTGTTCTCATACAACCATAAATGAAGATATATCTATATTCCCCAGTTCATAATACTTACTTCCTTTTTAGAGACTGATATATATAGATAATTAGTAACAATAATAGGATAATTCAAGTGAGTTGAAGAGATAGCTTTTTGCATAACATTTGACTTTTAAAAATGTCGAACATCCCCATCTATCAATAAACTGCAGTTGCAATAATTGAACGCAGCTCGTCTGAACATCAAAATGGTTTGTAGGTTTGTTCAGGAGCATTAGTAGTAAATTTGTTTTCCCACAAAGTCTAATCAAACACCATCGTTACTCAATTAACATAATCATTTTAGCATTTTTGCTTTCATCAACGTTGAACCAAAACCAGATCAAACTGGATGCTAAATAAAATTAACAATAAAGGATTACAAGCTGCTCTATGTGATAATCCACAACTTGGAGCAGCTTCTGTCAATTTTCTATTGATCAAAGCCAACAATCTAGTTTTCTCGCAGGCTTCTCAATCTGAAATGTATAACCACTGTTTTGTTCAGCGAAAACCTCACTTCAAATCACTGGAACAAACCCGATCCAAAGAACCCGGAAGAGAGCCGTGGTGCGTCCGGTGCAGATACAGTGCGGATCTATAACGGTGCTGTTTATTGAGGAAAGATTTTTCATATCTATTGTTAAGCTCTGATCCAATTGAAACCAATACTTTCTGTTTTATTGTTCCCTCCAGAAGCTAAAGCCTATTTGAAAACCAGTAATGAGAGAAACTTTATTCAGACTAAACAATCTTTTAGATGGGCTTTGCGTCAATAGATATAGAGGTTTTCTCAATTCTACTATTGCAGCTTCCAGAACTCCCTCCCACAATTTTGTTTTGGTTCAACAAAAACGATACAATAGTCAAAAGTCAAAACAAAGAATAGGGATTAACCAACTTGGGATTATGTTTGATATATATATTCCTCCTTCATATTCAAGTTATCCCAATTTTTTTAAACATCCATCGGTTTTTGTTCGAAATCTTCTTAGAAGGTACTATTTATTGGGCCTTAACACTTTGCAAATTGCATCTGCTAGGTTTCAGGGTGGTTTAAAACCAAAATTTCTATTGTGGAAAAATCAAGCAATAGAGAGCTACATCAAGGTCAATCAGTCATTTGTGGGTAAAGATTTGACAATATCGTCCAATTATTCCACGATATGGGTTCAAGATGCTCTAAACAAACGGATTCAATCTTTACCAAAAAATGTGTATTTTGACTGGAAGCTAATTAAATTTAATAAAAACCCTAAACTAGTTACTTTTATGCCATTTTTAATTCCGGGAGAACCATTGGATAAAGTTTTAATAGTTTATAAGTTTGACACTATTCAAAGAGTAATTAAATATAATCTCAAAAACAACCAAATGGACAAAAAAGATCGAAACGTGAATGAATATCTTGGATTCATTGTTGATATCGATAACAACAATGTTTTATTGACTGGAAGTTTATTTGAAAGCTCCATTTACGATAAAGTCAATTTGGGTCAATCAAAGCTTCCAGGAACATGTATGAAAGTTCATGGCGATATTTTTCGGACAAGCAACAAAGAATTAGAACTAGCTTTGGTCAAAAAATAAAGCTAATTTTGTTTCAGTTTATTTTCCACTTAGTGGTGCAGCATTGTGTTTTGTATATAGAATTGTTTTCTTGTTTTATCCAATGAACAAAAATAATTTCTCTAATTAATAAATATGCAATTTATTTAAAAGAAAATAAAAAAGGTCCCTATTAAATCTAGCGAATTAAAAAAAATATATTGAAAGATTTTGATTATTAGTAAAAATAATAAAAGTAATAAAAACAAACTAATCGGATATTTAAATATTATAGCATAATATAAAATAAGATAAGATATAAGATGCAAAATAGAATCAAGTGCCTTGTAACTTTCTTAGAGAGTATTCATATATTGAAAATGATAATGCTGTTGTTGGTGCGCTCTTTATAACTGCCATACTAAAGCCTCTATACAACCCATTAATTCCTTCATTAATTAATATCTCTTTAATGATCTGATACATTTGGGAGTTTCGATTATAAACCGAATCCTTGCTAGTGATAAAAGAATAATTGTGTACCAATATTTCATTAATGCTTCCTTTAATTTGCAATCTTCGTTTGATCAAATCCAACGGAAAAGTGGTTGCTTTAGAAATAAATCCTGCCAAAAATCCTGCAATATACTGGTTTATTAGTTTATTATTATTGAAACTACCATGTAAAAAATTAATATCAATATGCGTATTCAAATATTCATATGATAGAAAGGAGATCCCAGTTCCAAGTGATACTTGATAAATTGTGGGCTTCAAACCCCCATAAAAACCATTAATGCCTTCGGTTTTGAAAATATAATTAATCGACTTGAACAAGCGAAAAAAACTTCTGGAATTATTTGCCACAAATCTAGTTCGTAGAACATCAAAGGGATAGGTGATCAAACTCGCAAAACAACCGGAAATCGATCCAAGAACTAAATGTTTTACATTTCCATTCTTTTCCCTTCCTTTGAATCTATCATTCAAAAATGAGTAGCACGTAAACTGGGAAGCACCATATAGAACATACATGATCTCAGCTGGAATATTCCCTTTCCAAAACGATTTGATTCCTTCTTTTTTGTATATCTCCAGGGTCAAGCTCCACAATATTTTCCCATTCTGGTAGATGTTCACCTTGTGTTTGGGTGTCGAGTTGAAATTTGCCAATTGCAATCTGATCTTTAAAACATCGATTGGAGAGATCAAAGCTCTTGTTATCAACCCTGATATGGAACCGGCAATAGCTGAGTCATAAGAATGAATTTTCAGTGATTTTGAAGCAGCAGTGGAAGACATTTGTGTATCACTCATTACAGATCGCCAAACAAGAAGACACTTTGTTCATTATATCGCTGAGCAAAACAGAAATTAGCAAAGAGAAGAAGCTGCTCATTTTCTGTTTCCTGCCCCCATCCTCGAAATGGCTGAAATTTTCCATCTTCTCTCAAAAATCAGCATCCTTATCAAATGCAGATGCACTATCTGATAATAAGGATTACCTCTGGAATCAGGTGGTTTTGAACATTAGACCGCATAAAACATGGTTATTTCCCTGTTTGTTGTGGGACGCTGACCTTTTTGGTGCATGAAAAGTTTTTACAAAGCAGGAAAAATTTCGTTCTTCAGCTGGAGATGTGAATAAAACAAAACCAACATCAGAAATAACTACAACATGCCTGTGCCACCCAAAGAAAAGCCCAAGAAATGGAGAGCACCAAAAGGACCCAAGCCAGTGCATCACAAGAACAAGAACACCATTGGGTTAGGAAGAGCTATTCAAAATGTGCGTGCCAAAGAAAATAAAATCGAGTATTTGCCTGATGGCGAGATGAGATTTCAAACAGATAAAAAGGAAGATGATTGGGTCAAGCTACGTTCAATTACTCATGAAAATTCTTTGGACGAGTTTTTGAATACTGCAGAATTGGCCAACACTGATTTTACCACTGAAAGATCAAACAATATCAAGATTATCCAGGTGGGGGCCAATTTGAATCCTGGATCTCAGGACTACTTTGAATCCACCTCCAACCCATACTTGTTAACCAAGGAGCAAGAAGAACAGATTGAATTGCTTCAAATTCAAAATAAATCCAGGCTCACAGTTCCAAGGAGGCCCAAATGGTCCTCAGATATTTCCAAATATCAGTTGAACACCCTAGAAAGTAATCTGTTTTTGGAATGGCGAAGGTCTTTGGCTATATTACAAAATGATAATGATAATCAACTATTATTGACTCCTTTTGAAAAAAATATTGAAGTTTGGAGGCAATTATGGAGAGTGATGGAAAGATCTGATTTAATTGTGCAAATTGTGGACGCCAGAAATCCTTTATTTTTCAGATCAGTCGATTTAGAAAAATATACAAAAGAACTAGATCCAAGGAAAAAGAATTTGCTACTCGTTAATAAAGCTGACTTGCTAACTCAAAATCAAAGAATTGAATGGGCTAGATATTTCACTGAGAATAATATTCATTTTACTTTTTTTTCGGCTTTGAATGCCAATCAGTTGCTTGAAAAACAACAGGATCTACTGAATTCAAATGATCAATCACCACCACTCCAAGATGAAACTCACGTCAAAAACCATTTGCAGAACACAACTAATACAACAGGACCGATACAATCATCGCTCAAATACAACATTGAAATATTGACTGTGGATGCTTTGGAAGAATTGTTTTTGAAGGAAGCTCCTAAACCATTATCACCTCCTCCGGGCAATAACGAAACTCCCAAAACTGTTATTGGTCTTGTTGGATATCCAAATGTCGGAAAATCATCAACAATCAATGCATTAGTTGGCTCAAAGAAAGTCTCGGTTTCAGCTACACCAGGCAAAACAAAACATTTTCAAACAATTCATTTGTCCTCAAAAGTTTTGTTATGTGATTGTCCTGGTTTGGTGTTTCCCAACTTTGCCTATACAAAAGGCGAATTGGTAGTTAATGGTGTGTTACCAGTTGATCAGTTGAATGAGTACACTGCACCTGTTCAAATTGTTTGCAATCGTATCCCCAAATATTTTCTTGAATTGATTTATGGTATTGCAATTCCCATAAAATCAACCGCTGAGGGTGGGTCTGGTGTGCCCACTTCACATGAGTTTCTAACTGCTTATGCAAGAGCAAGAGGTTACATGACTCAAGGTTTTGGCTCTGCTGACCAGAGTAGAGCTGCAAGATATATTTTAAAAGACTATGTTAATGGTAAATTGCTATATGTATTGCCCCCACCAAATGAAAATGGAACCATTAAAAACGATCAGGTAAACAATGAATTTAACAAAGAACTTTATACTAATTTAAATTTGTTAACTGAAAGTAGAAAAGAACAAATTTTAGCTGCGATAGAAAAAAAAGGAATGAAAACTGAGGATTTTGATATGTCTAAAGATTTATCAAAGTTAACATTTTCCAACTTTGTTGGAGATGGAGATTCATCCAAAACAATGAGTAACTACGGTGGTAAACAAGCAGCCATTTTTTCTGCCAGTGACGAAATCGATAATGAATTTTTTAAGATGAATAATATTAAAGGTAGGTATTCAACTCCCTTCCATAAAGTCAACAATCAGAATGCACAAGAAAATAATAAAAAACATCATAAGAAAAACAAAAAAAAGAATAAGAATGCTGCTAGAGCAGAAGATTTTTATTAGTTTCTAAACTTTTTAACAAAAACTGGGATTATTCATTTTATTCAGCATGTAGTTAACCTTTTGCATTTATTTGTTTATATAAATATTGTTTTTTTTTTGTATTATCTAAGCTTGCTCTTTAAAAATTTTAATATCATTGTAGATTAACTAATTCAATGTATTAGGAAAATGATGGAAATGAAAAACAAAGAAATAGTTGGATTAAGAAATAAAAACGGAACTCAAACAAAATCAAAAAAAAAAAAACTATTGAATTAAATATGTGTATATCTTACAAACTTTAGTTTAAAAAACCCTTGATTATGTAAATTGAAAGACAAATAAAAATTAACGTGGAATACCACGACCTCTGCTTGCCATCATAGCCTGAGCTTGTGATGCATTTGGAGATTGAGATTCTTGATTTTTAACAGTTTCATCAACGCTCAAAATTAAAGAAGCTGCTTCGCATGCACTGTTTAGAGCATTAATTTTAATTAAAGATGGTTCCCATATGAACTTTTTCATATTATCAGAAACCGATTCGGTATTAAAATCTATGCCTGCCCAAGTTTCGCCAGTAGCATGAGCCATTCTTAACTTATTCAACAAATCAGTACCATCAAAACCAGCATTTTCACATAATTGCCTGGGGATAATTTCTAAAGCTTTCGCATAAGCAGCAATGATTAATTGCTGCTTTCCAGCTATCTTCTTGGAGTAATTTCTTAAATATTTTGAGATTTCCATTTCAATTGCACCTCCACCAGCGACTATTTCATTATTTTGTATAGTTCTTTTAACAATCATTATGGCATCATGTAAAGATCTTTCAACCTCTTCAATAACTTGTTCAGCACCACCTCTTAGTATAAGGGTGCATGTTTTAGCGTTGTGACAACCAGTGAAAATATTATATCTTTCGTTACCCAATTGTATTTCTTCAAATAAATCACAGTTTCCTAGATGTGCAGCAGGATCAATATCAGAGACTGAGGATTGAATTGAGCCTCCAACTGCCATTATAGTTCTGTCTAAATCTTCAGAAGCTACTCTTCCAGCACAGAAAATGTTTCTGTCAGCAAAATATTGAGTAGCCAAATCTCCAATGGGTAGTTTTGATAACACGATGTTAGCACCAGAGTCCTCGATGAGTTTTAATTTATTGAAAATGATTTCCCATTCAGCATCGACAATAGCTTGATAGTCAGCAGTACTCTGAACTCTAACCTCAGCATTATCCTTTTCTGCTTTTAGTTCTAGTTCAATATTCAATGATAAAATTTTAGGGTTTAAAATCTTTTTGGGTTGCTGTTCAAAACCAGCATAAGAAAAAGTTTTCTTGAAGGCGACACCTTTTATAAACAATGAGTGATCAATTGAACCACCAGGAACTTTTTTAATACCAATTAGGTTTAAGTTCAAATCATTCTGATCCAAGGATAAAACCGAATCAACAGCTAGCTTAGTGAAAAATTCGGAATTATTAGAAACAATTTTGGATGACATTGCGGTTTTGGCCAATTTTATTAAAGTATTGTAAAATTCGGAATTGTCATTCACTTTATCAATCTTTATTGACAATTGATTAATTTTGTTTATTGCTAAAGCGGTTGCTTTTCTAAAAGCTTTAGAAATGATATGAGAAGAAACACCTTCTTCAATAAAATTTTTTGATTCTTTTAAAAATTCCGCAGCCAATATAGTTACAGTCGTAGTACCATCGCCTACCTCTGAGTCCTGAGATCTTGAAATGTCAACTAGAATTTTAGCAGCAGGATGGACAATGTCCAATAGCTTTAGAATTGTTGCTCCGTCGTTAGATATAATTGATTTTCCAGAAGAATTGACTATCAAAATATCAGATCCTAGCGGCCCTAAAGTGGTTTTCAAAGTGTCTTGAATGGCCAAACAGGCATTGATGTTTGAAATTATTTGACCTCTGCCTTGCGAGGTGTCAGTGCCTTCCTTCAAGACAACGATTGTGGGTGCTTGTCCAAAACTCATTATTCCAATTCTGTTCGAGATGTGTTACTGTTGATAGAGTGTTAGAATGAAAAAAATTTAATGGAAAATTCAATGTTGTTAAAAAAAACACGTGAGCCGTCAAAGAGAGAGAGCCTTGCGTTTGAGCCGCCCCAACCAGCACTGTGGGAACGCTGCTTCAGTACAGCATTATTATGCGCACACTGCCTGTCGATACGTTTGAGCACGCTCTGTGCAGCTGGCCAATCATAGCGCGCCGGTTGAGCAGAGAAATAGCAGATGGGCGCCACTGCGAGAAGCCTGCGATGTTGGAGCAGCATTTGTAAGACACTTGTGCGTCAAAACAGACTGATTGTCTCCGGATGACTCATAATTATCTCCTCCCAGACCATAATTGTTTCTTCCCAAACAGTGCTGCTCATGTTTGGAGTGTGCAGCACAGTATAAAAATAGTCTCATCTCTCTTCTCTTTCGTTTTCGAGTTGGATTTCTGGCTAAGTTTATTCTCAGTAAACTTCAACAACTAAGCTGTTCTGCTATCCTCATACTCTTTCTTCACCGAAAAGGTATATTACATCCTCTCTGCTCTACTTTATTCCTGTCTTTTATTTCAACTCAGTTCAAAATGGCTAATGTCGTACTCGGCTCTCAGTGGGGAGATGAAGGTAAAGGAAAGTTGGTAGATATCCTCTGTAATGAAATCGATGTCTGTTGTAGATGTGCAGGTGGTAATAACGCTGGTCATACTATTGTTGTCAACAACATCAAGTACGACTTCCACATGTTGCCATCTGGATTAGTCAACCCCAATTGCTTGAATTTGATTGGTAATGGTGTTGTCATTCATTTAAAGTCTCTATTACTGGAACTAAACAATTTGAAGGAAAAGGGTTTGAAAAATTGCGATGAAAGATTATTTATCTCCTCCAGAGCTCACTTGGTTTTCGATTTCCATCAAAAACTAGACAACTTGAATGAGCTTCACTTATCTAATGATTCAACCAATGCTAATAAAAAACAAACTTTGAAAATTGGTACCACTGGTAAAGGTATTGGTCCAACTTATTCCACCAAGGCATCAAGATCTGGTATAAGAGTTCATCATTTAATCTCGGGTTTGAATTCTGATGCAGTAGATGAAAATGAAGCCTGGAAAGAATTTGAATCAAAGTACTACAGATTGCTAAATTCTTTCTATAAAATTTATGGAAAGTTTGAGTATGATCCTGTAGAAGAATTGGCCCGTTTCAAGTCTTACAGATCTATAATTAACTTAATGGTTGTTGATTCAACTCATTTTGTTCACACTGCATTAGCTGACAAAAAAAGAATTTTAGTTGAAGGTGCTAATGCTTTAATGTTAGACATTGATTTTGGTACCTATCCCTATGTTACTTCATCCAATACTGGTATTGGTGGTGTCATTACTGGCTTAGGTATTCCTCCTAAGGCCATTAACAATATTTATGGTGTTGTGAAAGCTTACACAACCAGGGTAGGTGAAGGTCCCTTTCCAACTGAGCAGTTGAATGACGATGGTAATAAATTGCAATCTATTGGTGCTGAATTTGGGGTTACCACCGGTAGAAAAAGAAGATGTGGCTGGTTAGATTTGGTTGTTTTAAAGTATTCTACCTTAATCAATGGTTACACCTCTTTGAACATAACCAAATTGGATGTCTTGGACACATTTAAAGAAATTAAAGTCGGCATTGCCTACAAGATAGATGGAAAGACTTTAGATTCCTTTCCTGATGATTTAAATCTTTTGGAAAAGGTTGAAGTTGAATATGTCACTTTGGATGGATGGAATCAAGATATCACTCAAATAAAAAGTTATGACGACTTGCCTCAAAATGCTAAAAGCTATTTAAAATACATTGAAACCTTTTTAAACGTTCCAATTCAATGGGTTGGTACTGGTCCTTCTAGAGACTCAATGCTTTACAAACCAATCAACTAGTTTTTGTTAATACCAAATGTTAAAATCTTATTTATAACTGTTTAATTTTTCATTCAGTTTTTACAAAATTTTCCATATTCTCTACTTTTTTGGATGCAGTTTATTTTTTTGTTATTTTTTTGTTTTTTTGTTTTTTGTTGTTTTTTATTTATTTTTTTTGTACTTTTACCAATATTCATTTATAAACTATTTATTCAAGTTAAAAGAGAAAAAATATTTTAAGCTGCTTTGTTTATTTGTTTTTATTTGGCTGTATTAGAAACTATAAAATTATATTTTAATTGGCAACTATCACTATGCCAACATGTTTAGAATTTTGAAATCCAAATTAAAATCCCATGCTAAAATTTGCAAAAAATAAACTAACTATTTTTCATGAGTTATAATACAACAGATGATAACTTGGATTAAATATACTGTATCCTTCATTCACATTAATTGACTATACATTTAAATCAAATAATTCAGCTTTGTAAGCCTCACTATCATAAAATTCTTCTCTACCAATAAATGTATTCCACAATTCTCTCATTTTCCAGATAGTCAATTTCCACATTGTAGAAGGAAAATCAACATAACTTTTGAGAATAAATCTAAATGCTGCAGAGAATTCTAGCAAAACTTCATTTAAACTTTCCTTAAATTCTTTATGAATGGTGTTTTTATTTTTAATAGACTGGTATTTACGATTTTTACCAGTTTCATATAATTCTTTGAATTGGTTCTTCGAGAAATCTCTATTGGATTTTCTAATCTCTTCCCTTAACTCATTACTTTCAGGTTGAGGTTTGTCTTTAGGAATTTTTTGATCTAGCTTGTCAATTTTGGGTTGGATTCCAACGTCTGTTTCAGCTAGGTTCTCGTCCTTGATTTCGTCTTTCATTTCGTCTTTTATATCTTGATTTATATCTTGATTTATATCATTATGAATTTCATTTTTAGCCTCTTCAATATTGACAGATAGAGAATCATTTGAAACGAGATGAGTCTCAAATTGGTCAGATAGAGAACTATTTGTATTTTGGATCTGTTGTTGGTGCTCAAGTTCATAGATTATTCTAAAATTGTTGATACTTTGAACACTTTTACTGATTCTGTCAAAAGTGTTAATTAAGGCAACCAATTCATTTCTTTTTAAATTGCCTATTATTTCATCAATATCGTAATCATCGATATTATAGTTGTTATTATCGATATCATTCAAAGAGGGGAGTTCAAATAGTAGCTTCAAAGCAGTTCCATAACCTAAAGTTTGTATTTTGCCCCACATTTTGCATCTTTCACAACCTACGCAGTCCATTATTTCAGTTATATTTCTAAATTTACTTTTAAATTCCTGTTTTAAATATATGGATTCATAACTGTCTTCGAGAAATAGTAACTGTTCATGGAATATATCAATTGAGGAATTATTTGTCAAAAGATCAGCAATTTTATTAATTTTGTCTTGGATTACTTTTGAGTTGCAAATATTCAAATGATCTGAAAACTTTGACAATTTTAGGATGGATTTGACAATCAAAGCATAGTTAAAATAAATATTGGACAAACGGTCTGGAAAGTAGCCAACTCTTTGCATGAATAACTGCAAGTTAGGTTCCCAATTTTGGGCTAGAGGATTGTAATATTCATTTGATAGATGGGTGGCAATTGAAGCATGTAAGCCGGAAATTATTCTGTAGAACACTCTTTTTTCAAGACACTGGTCATCAATTCTGCTCATGAAATTCAGATTATTAGCAAGGTGTTCATTTTCAGAGGAGACTTCCTTTGTAAAGCAGTTTTCCAAATAAATGGAGGTCCAAATTTGATTTGACTGTGGGCCGCCATATCCACTAAACCTCTCTGGGTTGTCTTGTAGATTGACATAAACTGAATTCAAAGAGGATTCCTCATTAGTGTCACAGTAATCTTTGGAAAATAAATAGCTGTCGTATTTTTTTTTTTGGCAATCTTCACCAATCAATTTGTCAAGAAATTGGTCTTCTTGATTTAAATTGTTTTTTGAGTCTAATTTGGACAAGTTAGTAATCAATTCATTTTTCAAGTAAAAAGGTAAATTAGAAATTTCATTGATATCTTCAATTATATCGACGACACAATTTTGACTGGCACACTTTTTATCATTTTCATTGTCCCAAAAAGGGCAGTTTTTGGACAAGTCAATTTTGAAATATTTAAAGTAATCCTGTTCTATAAGATCTATTAAATAGGGTCTGATGAGAGAGTTTATTTGGTTAATGGAATCAAAGGTTAGATCGCAACCATCATCAATAATTTTGGAATCCAATGAGCAAAAATCAGGTTTGGTGAAACCCAAGGCAGGAGTTGAGCCTTGAGAAAGAGACAGTTTCAAAAGGGATAATATAAAAGATGCAATGAGGAAGATATTGCCAACAGTAAATATATACATTGGAGGAAGACACAGAGAATTGATGGAAAGAGTGGAAGATGTTCAATGAGTTCTCCACTTCAGTAGAAAAATCTGTGTTTAAATACGCTCCTGCTTGGAAAGACTGTGTTTTCGGGAAACAGGGTGTTCAAATCCAAAATCCTTTCAAGACAGGTTTATTTTTTTAATCAGGATTGCCAATTAGTAATGGCGCCAAATCTGAGGATCTACGCTTTTAGAGGTTGCGTTTAGCACAAAAGAAATGCTGGACACTCTGACAAGAAGAACGCTTTGTTTACTACGCCCACCACATCCAGCATCTTGACAAACAGAAATTTGTCGTTTTCTCGACGAATCGAACCTGTAATAAGTCTTACAATCGTAGCTATAATACAACCAATTATTTGGTTATTTAGAGATTATATTAACTATTATTTATGGTAGAATAATATGTATTTAGCTAACTTAAGTAAAACTTATTCCTTCTTATTCTTCTCTTTTAATTCCTGTTGAAATTCCTACTCTTTATATATTGGTATTTGTATTAAACTTGGGTCTGTTTCAAGAACAGAAACACTCTTTGTGGCAACTCCCTTTTGAATTGAGTCTGGCTTTTTGATTACCTAATAAAATCATGTGCCATAAGAATCGCACAAACCGAAGACCACATTGTAATCACGTGCTGAAATCGAGTTTTCGGTGAAGAAAAGCCCTGGAGAAGAGCCAATTTTCACCAGTCAACTTCTGCTGCTGTGAGATACAAACTGAGAGCCTGGAGCTAATGATGAAGTTGCTGGAGCCAGATTCCCAAAGATGATACATGATACGAAGTTGCTGCGTCTTGCTAAATGTTTTTGCCTGTTAACCGATTCTTTGCTTCACAACCATGTCAATCAACTGACAAACTTTTCTACCTTGTCTGCACTTTGGTTCAGAAACAGAACTCGTGGAAAAGTTAAAAGAAAAAAGCTGCCTATTGATGAAGAATACGTAGATGCATCAACTTTTTTTGGTTTAGATACTGCTCCTGAAGAATTGCAGAGGGAAAATGAAGTTTCAAATTCATTTTTAGATTCCGATCAAACTGACAGCTCTTTCGCTTCAGACAAAGAAATTTCTGATTTCGAGTATCCTGATGAAGATAAACTAAAATATGCTCAACACAATGTTTGGCAACCTGAACCAACTTTCACTACAAGCAGTAACCAAAAAAATAATCACAACCAAAAAATTAATAATCCCTTTTTGGATTTTGAAAAGTCAAATTTAAATTCACAGAAAAATCAGGTTTTTAAGAGAAAAAATCAAAATTTATCAAATTTAGATCTACCAGAATCAGAAAGCAATTTCGAACACAATAACTTCACATCACAACAAAATAATTATAATTTTTTCAATGAAAAAAGTGAAAAATCTTTAAATTCTCAGTATTCTAATCAAAATCACCCTTTTCCAAATCACTCTACTTTTACTCACGACAATCGAACTTCCGGAAACAGATATAATAACTCTCAGGACCATAATCGTTGGCAATTTACTCCCAAGGATTATTCATCTGACACAACTTCTATGAGAAAAGGGATAGATCAATTAAAGCCTTTCAAATTGTTGCATCCTTTTTTCAATCCTATAATTAATGCATTTCAAAATATCTATCTTCAGAACTTTTTACAAACCCAATTTTACATCCTTGACAATCGGGAAAAATTTTTTTTACCTTTTTACCCTTCATTTATCAACAATCACAGATTTTTTTTACGGGAAACCATAGAAAATTTTTACAACTCCAACTTGATTTCTAAAAATAGTATTTTTTTGAGTCCTGTTTTTCAAAATTTTCATAGCTTTTCAAATCTTTTTGCCTATAAAAGCGAAGCTCGATATTTAACTGAAAAATATAAACATATCAGGTATCCCGTCATTCCCGTATTTCATACAGGTTTTTACTTTAAACTGCACGATCAATATCTAGACTGGCTATACAATTATACTAATTTTGTTTATTCTCGTATTTCCACATTTACCAACACTAATTTATTCGATGTTTATAAATTTGACTTGCTGAACGAAACTGTATCCAATAGTCATTCAATACAAGAGGACGATGCCAGTCTAAATAGTCCTTTTAAAGAAATCTCAGGTCCAACTCAAGCGGAAATTGAAAACTATTTCATTCATTATAACCCTCATTCGAATCAGGAACAATCCCCTGAAGACCAAAATTTCTTAAACAAATCCGAACTAACAAAGGAAGAATCGGCTTTTTTTTCATCGTTTGATAACTTAATCTCTGGAATTGATTCAAATCCACTGATGGAGTATTCTGCTGTTTTTCATATAAATGACGATATTGAGTATGCAGTTGATCTTTTTTTTTGGTTGCACAAAGGTTCAAACACTACAGAGAATGATTTGAACAATCTTTATGATGCTTTGACTCCATTTTTTGGAATTTATAAAGAAATTCATTATTTGGAGTACAAATTTATACTTAGTTTATGCTATGTTTTGAGAAAACATATCAGGCCATATGAATATAATAGTTTTTTGTCCTTTTTAAATAACACCTTGAACAATTACTTAAATCATCATAAGGTCAAATCAAATGAACATACTCAAGATAAAATAAATTCCGAAGTCTTTTTTAACATTCACCAAGTTTTAATAAACCAGTTATTGTTGGTTTTAAAGAATAACATTGTGGATGGAAGCTTAATTTATAGTTTCAGTAAATTCAGAAAATCCAACCAATTTTTTATCAATAAAACAAATAAAGTAAATGATGAAAGAATGAAATATGGTATAACACCTATCAAATTCCACATACGTCAACGGGCATATTACAATGCCGTTGCTGACATACGAAGCAGTCTTTTGAATATAATTACAGGAACAATCAAAACAATCAACAAGAATGATTCTGAATCGGACTATGATGAAAATAATAAAATCTATTCCAGAAGATCTGAATTTAAATCAATTTTGGATTTCAGTCCAACAGTACTAAATAATCTATTTCAATTCTTCATAAACTGTAACTTTTTATTAGATGCTAAATATATTTTAAATATTATAGTATTTGAGAAAAGAATGATTCCATCAATATTGTCAATTGAAGACTATTTAACTAAAACAATGGAAAAAAGCTTTAGAGAAGAAATAACGATGAAAAAACAATTTGAAATTTTTGAAAGAAACAGAATTCTAGGTGATTATTACTTTCCATTAAATAATTTTTTTAAAAATGAAAAGTCAATTATTTCGATTGAAATTTTAAGAAATCTTATTGAGTTTTGTTCTTGTACAGCCGAGTTATTTCATTTAATTGATTTGATTCGAGTAAAAACTAAAAATAAAAAGATAATCAACACAGATTCTATATCGTCTAACGAAGAAGGATTTCAAGAATTGTCAAATTTACTCGTACAAAATGAAGAAAACAATTTAAGTGAAGATGTGTATTGCGACAATCATGAAATATTTGATTTGTTGTATCGCGATATATTTGTTAAACTTGATAAGTTATACTTTCTTGGGAAGAATCAACATAGAAGTAGTTTATTGGTTCAAAGTGAGATAAATGAAATGCTTTATGAGATTGAGAAAAAATCTAGAATATCTGTAAAGGAAAATATTGATAGTCTATTAGTAAGGCAGTTTATTGTTTGTAATAATTATCGAGTTATAACCAATTATATCGAACATGGATCATTTGTGAGAACGCCATTTTTGAAAAGAAAAACAAAAGCAGAAGAAAAAGAAAAAGAAGAAGAAGGAGAAGGAGAAGGAAAAGATAATAATGCAGAAGTAAAGGAAATGGATGATGAAATGGATATAACTAATGAAGTGAGGAAAGCTATTGAAAATAAAGAGGTGTATTCTTCAAAAGTTTTAAAAGAAGAGTCAAAGAAAAGTAGTGTTGTAAAAGAAAATGAATTTGATGATTTAATTAGAGGTGAAATGAAAAATGTTATAATGAAAGATTGTTTTGAATGCAATGAATTGCTAATTCCTATAGTGAATGAAAAAACGAAACATAAACAGCTTGATAATTTTGTGAACATAAAAAGGAGACTTAATAAATTTAATGGAATTTTAAGCAGATTAAATAAAGTGATGGTAGTATCGGATTATGTTAAGAAATATAAGTTTGAAAGACAGAAAAAAGCCGAAAAGGTGTTTGATAGCGAAGACGATTCATTATCGAATGTTGAAAAGTTTGTGCTAGAAAATCCCAAGAATTTTGACAAACTGGTTTTAAATGAATCGTATCGAAAATTGGTTGCTGATGAAGATAAGCGGAAAAGTCTGGTTGAAGCGAAAAATATTGAAAAGGAATATGCAGAAAGATTGAAAAGATTTAAAAAGGAAGAAAATGATAAAGAAAAGCAAAAGAATGCTCTAAATGAAAATGAAAATGAAGATGAATACAAAAAGCCAATAACTGAGAAAGAAGATTGGGAAGTCCAGTATGTAGGTGATAAGCAAGAAATTGAAATTCCTGGAGAGGATATTTTCAACAAAACCCAAAAAATCGAAAACGGAGATGAATTAGATCAATACAGAAATCAGTTTGAGAAATATCTGAATATGGATAACAACGAAATGGGAAAAGAAGAACTTGACCTGAACGAAATCCAAGAAGGATCGAACAAAAGATTGGATGAGGTATTGAAATTCAAAAACGAGCCATTGCAATTGAAACAGGAATTGAGAGGATTCTATTCAATTAGAGAGATATTCAGTAAAAAAGAGGAAACGTTTCTTAAGTACTATTGGATCAAATTAGAGAAGTTTAGAGAAGAGATCGATGAATTGAAATACAGGAAACTCAACATGGATGTATATCAGATCAACAGATTAGAAAGACTCATCGATGAATATATGAGCCGATACGAAGCGTTGCAGGAGATATTTAGGGAGTATTTGTATTCATACTATGACAGGAAGGATGAGATGTTGGCCAGGCTCCGAGACGAGTTTGCTCCAGACAGAGATCTCGAAATAACGAAGCTCAAGAAAAATCTCAGTTCTTCGACCTACCAAGACATACCCAGAAGGATACGGAGCGACATGGAAATCAACGCAAAGGTGAGCAACTTGAAGGAGATCGAGCCGGTGAGCGAGACGAAGCGCGTAAAGTTTGTGGTCGACTCGAAGGGAACGTTGCTCCGGAGCAGCACCGCCACTGGAGGAGCTGCCGAAGACGTCCACTTCCTCAAAAGCGACGACTGAGCCTGGAGAAGCACCGCAAGCCTTAAATACGTAATGCAGCTATATGTACATAGACGCGGTTCTGCCAATACACACAGTGATGCGCATGTGCCAGCGAAACGGTTTCCAAATCCGCCTCCGCCGTCCGCGAGCGAACGAGGATTTGAGGCCCAGCTGCTTCTTCTAGTGGATTTGCTTCTTCTGCTTCCTCTGCTGCGTTTGGTTCTGTTTCTGCTGCTGCTTTTGCTGCTCATTCACTCTTTTCACTTTGCTTCTCCCCTTCCAGTTTGTTTCGGATCCGTGCTTCTCGTGCCTTTCGCGCTTTTTTTCCTCCTGTTTCATCTGTTCGTCTTTTCATCTTTTTTTTTCCTGTTTGTTCTGATTCTGTTGGTTTTGCTGTTTCTGCTGGTTTTGCTGTTTTTCCTCTTTTTTGTTGCATTGGTTATTCTTTTCTATTCCCTGTTTTCTATCTTCCTCCTCTGCTCTTTCTTGTTTCCTCTTCAGAGCCTTTGTCTGCCTCAAAATGGATAAATTCATCTCCTCAATTTTGTGCTGCTCCTCCAGGAAAAAATCTTCCATTTCCAAAAACAAAAAATCTTCCAAAAGAGACTCCAAATCAAACAATACTGCTAATATCATTAGCAATATTAACAGTCTTGCCACTAACGCTCCTGACAATAACCATACTAACAACACTAACAATCTCAACATCAGCAATGCCAATGAAATTCCCACCACCAACAATGGCACCCTAGTCTCCAATTCTCACGCCATCTCCAATTCAATGTCTAAAATCAAAATTAAAACCAGCAAAGATATTATCACCACTGACTCTTCTATTGTTAACAACAACAGCATTGAAAACAACAAAAAGATCTCAACCAATTCCTCTAGCTCCACTTCATCTACTACCTCCTCTTCTTCAACAACTTCTTCATCCTTGATTGCCTCAAAAAACAATAAAACCATCAACAACAATAATAATGACAACAAAAATAATATCATCATTACCAACTCCAAAAAAAGATTATCTCTTACCCTTTCAAACAAAAACAAAAGAATTTCAAAAAATATCGATTCAAACAATTCTTCTCCAAATGATCAAAATAATCAAAAAAAAATTAAAAACTCAATCTCTTCTTCAAATAAACCCAAAATAAAAGATCAATCTAATCTCGATCAAAATATCAATGAAAATAATCTCAATATTAATCACAATGACAATAACAATAACAATAACAATAACAATAACAATAACAATAACAATAACAATAACAATAACAATAACAATAACAATAACAATAACAATAACAAT